CCGTTTATTCTAACACAGTCGACATTTAGGTGACACCTGTTTCTAGACGGTGACAGGTATACAACAGCACGACAGCTTGTCCTTCTGTCCTCAAGGATGTTAGTTACCTACAGGGCGTCTTCCGATCCTTATAGTAACGCCTCTTTACTCAACTTGATCCATTTCTAAGCATCTATACTGATGAGAATAAATTATTTTTGATTAAAGGATGCTTTGGATTTAAAAGAACTTTAATCTCTTTGCAGCTTCCATTAATCTTTTGTGGCTTCATCGAGGATTTTCCTGAAGCATCCATTGAAGATATTAATATGTATAACTGTAAAATTGGAATCTTTTGTATTAGAATAATTTTTGTATTTTGTAAAAATAATCGAACGAGTCCTCATTAATGAAGTGGCTACTCATACTTCGTACGATAAGTGCGTGACTATTTTCAACAATTTCGGTTTTTTATGTTATTAGGAAAGATGATATGGAACGTTAATTAGCATTTTCGTGATACTAATTTTTGTGCTGATAAATTTTCAAAGTAAAAAAAGAAAAATACAATTTAATGTGTTTATCTCACAACTGCTTCTAATTTTTGAGGGGGAGATTGCTTATTTCACACATTGAATTATGGTTTTTATTATTCATCAATGTTTTTTATGCTAATGAATATGAATAACAAATTAATCATTTCTAACAATCAAAATATTTTTAACTTGAACATAACCTCATTTTATTTTAAATTTTATGTTTGAATTTTCACTGCCCTATCAGAGTTCGTCAAAATATTACTTACAAAAACAATTACAGTACTTACGCCAAATAAACTTACAGACTATTATTTCTTCTTTTACTGTTTATGGTGCTTGAACTCCTAGTTTCTTTCAAACACTTTCAAACTATTATTTAACTTTTAAAATGTAAATTAATTCAAATTTACAGTTGAACAACACAAACATTGGCCGTCCTAAATGACGCGTTGGCAACTTAACTCCGTAAGAAGATTGTGGGCAGTTCCGATATTCATAAAGTGAATGTTACAGAATAATTAACAAGTCGATTTTAAGTTTTAATATTAAAGAATAAAGAATAATAAGTAAAACATTGATATTCCTGGTGAAATTACTAGTAAAATTGGAGAATGGATAAATGTCGCCAAAACTGGAGTCTCCAGGCGAAAATGACATGGTTGGTAATTCTACTTTCAAAATAGCTTGCATACAGGAAAGTTATTAAAGTGCAAGATAAAATCGTGATTTTAAAAAAATTTCACCTTGTCTTTATAAATTTTTAAAATAATAATAATCATCAAGATCATAAACAATTTTCTCATTTTTACTTCTAAATCAAGAGTGAACTGGTTATTTTAATTTTAAATCAAAATTATGAATTTTATTTTTGTATGTGCAATAACTTCTCCCTTTTGAATCTATTTACGTTATTAGCAAAATATTAATCAATTAGTTTTATTTAAAAACTTGCATTTTATGAATTAACAAATATATTTGATGATAATTTAGTACATGAACTGAGGAAAATTTGACTTAATCCTTCAATATAGAAAGTAATTGTATTTGTATGCACATCCTGTATTATTTATTACATTCTGTGTATACTATAACTGTAATACAACTTATGTCAATACATTAGGAATATTATATTTTATATGCTATAAAAAACAGCACTTTATTAATTTAAGAATTTATTCTTATATTAATTGAAAAATATTGCAGCCAGTCTGTGTGTTAAAAAATTAGCATGCACTGGTATTTATTATTAATTATGGCTTTTGTTCTGGATTTTCCCCTATAGGGAAAATCTTTACATAAAATCAGATAAATTTTTAATAATAATTGCTTTAAAAATCAAATTAAATATAATACTTTGTTTTTAAAAATATATAATCACTTTATAAATTTATGATGTACTGTACATATAATACATATGATAAACAGTAAAAAGCTTGAGAAAGATGAAGACATAGATATGAATCCCCCACCCTTCTTAAAAGGCCTCAAAAACATATGACTAAGACAAAACAGATTTTCCAGACTTATCAAAGGAAATTTTAATTTATTATCACTTTTATATCATATTTTTTTGTGTGAAACACTAAATTGTTGGAGTTCCTGTGTGTGTCTAAGGCACAGAGCAAATAGTTTGGCTAGTTCTCTTCCTCCTATACTTGATATCATTTAATATTTGTATATTACATATGGTAATTTACGTTTTCTTGTGCTGAATTTATATTTAAGCATTGCTTATCCTGTTCAAATATTAAAATATTTGAAATAACATAGAAACTATATCAAAGTAAGTGCATGAGATTGTTCTACACTTGAATTTGTTTATACACTGATTTGATTGACTGTTCAAATTAGTTTATGACTTTATTCCTTAAGAAAATTTTCCCTATTTCTAACTCTTAAAACAATAAAGTTTTACTAATATTAATTTTATTATAAGCTCTTACAGAACAATAATTCATAAACTTTAACGATTATACATTTCCCCTAAAAGTTGGCTTTAATTGCGTCACCGTTGACCTCACAAAATGCGTTTTTCCGGCATTTTTTCGAACATTATTCGCTTTGTCGATAATTCAATAGTCTCCATATTCCCTTTGTTCACAGACAGACAGACAAACGGATGGATCCGATTTTTATCTAGGTTGCTTGTAAGAGCATAAGTCATCGGACCGACTTTTTTTTTTTTTTTATCTAAAAGGAAGGAAGACAAACGGGAAATAAAAAAAAAGCCACCATATCCGGATAGAAAGGACGATTTCGGTTAAAAGACAGAAAATATTTGATTTTTAAAAATAAAAGTGGTTTAAAACGTGTGTTAAAATTACTTTAAATTGCTATAAAACTTATCTAATGGCAACATTCTATCGAATGAGTCACTCGCTATATAAACGATCGTTTTTCGATTATCCGTGATAATCTGTTGTAAATCTATACATTGAGATCGATCATTCATCAAACAAGATAGGAGATTGTCGAATAGTAGGCGTTTGTTTATTAAATAATAAAGAGTGGGAGAGAGAGAGAGAAACTTAAGCTTAATTCACAACTCCTAAATATCACCGTCGTCTTGGAATTTCTTTTATTTTTTTTAAAGAAATAAAATTTTAACATCACGGATAAACACGAATTAATCCCTTTGTACTGTACTGTACGTCCAGCCTACGCTACTGCGTAATTATGAATGAAACGATTGGTTATGAAACATTTCTTTACGCGAAAAGTAAATAATTTTGAAGATAATTGTTCTGGCAAACAGTTAATAAATTCCGTGAAAGCGTGAGGGGGGAAAGAGGGCGAAAAAACATTTTAATAAGCGAATAATACTTTACTAAGAACAAAAAACGTGACGTAACTGGATGAGATTGGTCGCTTAGCAACCGAAGATGTGAATAAACGTATGAAACGCCCACGTGCTCTGCCTCTGCCGCGCATGAATGAAAAGACTACCACAACGTACTACGTCGATTGAAAATGGTGAGTTGTTTCCCGTTCGGTTATCATTACTTGAGAGACGACGAATATGGGCAAATCGGGGTAAAGAAACCGTTTTTACTCGAATGGATGAGAAGATCGAAATCCGCCAGCCCTTCCTCTAATAGAAAAGAATGTACAAAAATTGAAGATGTCAGAAAGAAATCAGTAGAGCCACCGAATTTATCCATGTCAGGTGTGAAGTATAACGTTAAGGTAAGCTTTAATAAATTATTTTAAACTAAATTTAAATTTTCGTTATTTAATCATTGGTTTATAGGGAAGTTTAGGATGACAGGAAATATTTTTATCATTGTGTAGAATTAATCAGCGTTGGATGATATTTCCTGTTTATATCTTCGTATAAATCTTACTTCTAATTTTATGAATTTAAACCGAAACTATTTATAAAATTATATTATTTTGTATTTAAAAAATCTTAAAGTGATCAGGAAGTGAAAAATTAAGTTTCTTCCCGCTTATTTAAAGATGCAACATTTTTAGGTAAAAAATGCCAAATTTCTGGCATTTTTACCTAAAAGTTACTACGTCATAAGCCGATTTGACGTAGATTTTTATTGAAGTTTCCTGCTTAAACTCGAGTAAATTCGTCCCAAAAAATAAAAAAAAAAGAAGAATACGAATATTTATATAATTTAAAAAATAAAAAAAAAGATAGAACTTACAATTAACAGAGACTCTCCTAGAAAGGCGTGAGTCACTTTTTTCATTATAAATGAGAGTATATAGATCAAATGTCTTCAATTAAATAGTGAAAATTCCGATTTTTTTTAAACGTACGTCCTATTTTTAGAAAAAAGATAAGATCTAATTAATTATGATTAATATACGAAGTAGAAGTACACAAAAGGAAGATCTGCAAAATCATTTTTATCTCGAGTTTAGAACTTTCGTATTTAATTATCGAATCACTTCAAATAAAATCACTTATTAATTACGTAATCCTCTTACACAAATTCATTTTTTAATTAATGAACTCTTATCTATTTATAGCTCTTATTTTACTACTGTTTACGACATAATTTTTTTTTATGTTGATTATTTTTGTAAAATTATCGGTTATCAATGACACGAGCTATCATATTTTTCTGCCTTCTGAACTGTTTTAAATACTACAGTATTTATATAAGAAGACGGTATTTGCTTAACTTATTTACATAAAATTATGTTCAATTAAATTAAACACGCGTTATAATTAAACTCAAATTTCTTAATTGGCTTAAGGATTGTTGATTGTAATTTTTCTCCTCATAATGATGTAATAGAATATTCTATTAAAAAACTAAAAAAATTGATCATTTCTGTTAATAATTTGAAATAATGTCAGAATTTTTGCAAATTATGCAGCTTTTGTGATAATTATATGCAAAGTGATGAACTTGATAATATTAGATTAGACTTGGATCTAGCCACTTATTTAATTTAACCTTTTTGTATGTATAAATTTGTTATTTTCTGTATAAAAAGTAATATTTACAAAAAAAAAAAAAAAAATTTATTTAAGAACACAACCTGTTTTTAGATTTTAGGAATAATATTTATCATTTTATCCTTTACTTTATCATGCGAAATTGATAGATTTATTGCATACAGAGTTTTTGAAAATAGTTCAGAAGACAATGACGTGTTTCCTAATTGTTCTAATTTACTTATAACAAGCAATAAAGTTATAATTACTCTTATATTATCATATTTATATCTTTTGAAGATTTATTTTTTCAATTTTTATAACTTAAACATCTTTATTTTCTTTCTATTATATGCAATCTTAATTCGTGAGTTTGACACTCATTCATAAATTCCAATTAAATGATTGTTAACGTTCATTGCTTTATAAAACTTTTGACACTATCTTATTAAAATAATTAGTAATAATTCTAGTTTCTTTTTCTGTTTAGTTTAATGTATTGTATAAATGAGAAACTAAATTCTTAATGATTTTACGCTTGTTAACATTTTAAAGTAAAATATTATACTAAAAGTATAGGGAAAATACTACTGTAATATGAACTTAGCAGTGTCGATGTAATACGTTAAACACGTAAAAAAATCCCGCTTTTACGACTTAATTGGCTTGAGAAACCGTCGTAAAGCGAGTCATAAAAACACAAAATTCTACAAGTATACAAATAAATAATAATAATTTAAAATACGTTATAAGGTTCGAGTAGATATTTTAAACTGCTTGTTTCTATATTTTGAGTAATCTCTAATCCCAAAATAGAATTTTAATTGGATTTCGAAACTTTTTCTTTATTTATAAAATATATAAATTACGATCCAAGGCCATTAAAATATACTTGTTTTTGTTATGATGCGGCTTATAAATAATGAGCAAATAATGGATCCAAATTGCCGAAAAATTGGTTATTCTTCTTTATTCGTATATTTAAATGTTTGATATTAGTATAATATATTAATAATGAATGTCGATTTATGCTAATAATGCATGTTCCGAAACATCTGGAATAATTTCGAAATTTATTCTAAATATTCAAAATTTTCTCCGGGGAATTTGTAAAATTTTAATTAGGATATATAAAATTTAATTTAAATTTTAATTGGTTATGGTTTAACGATTGTTTAATAAATTTTTAAGTATATGGGATGCATTGAAGTGAAGAAATCGATGAAGGAATTCGATTTTATTACAAGATCCGAACTTGCCAAGTAAATATAATCCATTATTTCTATATTTAACAAATATATAAATCTATGAAAAATAATAAATTGTGTGATATTTATTTTGTTGTTATCTATTTATTTATTTTTTGTAGGGAATGTATTAATAGAATATGCGAGAAGATAGGAATAAAGAATGTAAATAAAAGAAAAAAGGTTAGTTTCATTTATAAATCCAGCTTATATTTGTTTAATATAAATGTATTGATCTCAAAAGCTCAAAATAAATTTTCTCAAAATGATCTCAAAATACATTAAGCTATGTTATAGCTTAATGTATGAAGAAACAACAGAAATTTATTATCAATTTTGTTTCCTCCCGCTTATCTGGGGGGGGGAACATTTAAGTAGAGAAAACAAAATCGTTAACTAGTTTCGATTGCTAAACAAACTTTTTCTTGAAGTGTGAATATTAAAAAGGAGATTAAATTATTTTCCATTATCAATAGGTTATTTTTTCACGTATTTTCAAATTTATATAATAGGCCTAATCTATTAGTTTTAAATTAGGGTTTGGAAATTTTTCTTAAAATTTGGAAGACAGTATTCCATTCCGAGGGATATCATAAAGCCGCATAGACTACTGTTTTGCAGGTTTCATAATTGTATATATTCTTTAATTTAAAAACTTATTCGAAAACCTATTTGATTCCGGTTCTGCCTGAAGACGATATTTATAAATATATCCAAAGCCCTCGCAGAATATTAAAACGTTTCTTAAAATGTTCTTTAACGCCTTTTTATGTGAATTTTTCTCTTGAATTTGTATACATTCAGCATACATGCACAAATATATATACAGTACCTGTATTATTGAAAAAAATAACAGGAAACATTTATAACACAAAATTGATGATAGTGTAATTAGTTATACCATTTTACATTTTACCAGAGGGAACTAAAGTCTGAAGACTGCAAATTCTCCACCATTTGTCTAAATTATAAAATGATTAATTTTGAGTAAATGAAATTTGTTAAAAACATATTTCAACAGCGTGTTAAACTGTAGTTTTCTACTTGTTATAAAAGTAGAGAAAATGCTAACATTTTTGAATGGGAGTTCAACTTATCCAAGTTTACATAAACATTGTGAAACAGTACATATTGATAGTATATTCAGTGTATTTTTAGTAAACTTATTACAGATAGAGTACGAAGAATATATAGGCTATCGTTTATATTTATTCTGACTTTATACTGAAAGTGTTTATTAGTTCAGCCAGATCATTAGTTTATTCATTTACACAAATGTAGACTCAGCTGAATGGTTTTGGCTGGAACTGGTGTTAGATATTGACACATTTTAAGATTTGTTTATTTTTGAACACTGGAAATTTCAAAATTAATTTTGATATTTCTCAACTCTAATATTAAACATTTAAAGCCTAATTAAGATAACAATCAGTCTATTTAATCTGATGTAAAAAGTACATGATTAATATTAATGTTATAGATTCACCATTGCCAAACTAACTGCATATAATTATCCCTTCAAGATCCTTATTGCAGCATCAATATACTTATATAATTTCTTTGTATAAACTTGGTGTATACTATTTACACAGATATAGCCTAATATTTTTGTAAGTTTTCTGACTATTACATAGTGTTATATACACAAGGACTGTAAGTATAACTCACAACTTAACTTCAAACAGGGGACTGACTGAAAGTTTATGGTTCGTTCATAAAGACAAGAGAGTTAAATGATTGTTTACCTAGTTAGTCATAAAGTAGCAATAAAGTAAAGTAACAGTGATATTTACTATAAAACATTGGTAACTATAGTATTTTAACTGTATTAGGTATAATAAAGTCTAAACAGATAATGCAGCTCTCCAATGGGCATTCCAACAAAGATTGCATGCTCTCCTGTATTTCTGATAGGCATTGTACAGCTCCTATTACAAGGTTTGGCCAACCTTGTTATAGATTATAACAATTTCTTAAATTTTAGTTAATTCATTAATTTTACACAGTAGTACTTTTATAAGATACTATAAGATAATTAGCTGTATATACCAAGATTCTGAAACAAGTAGTCCTTGTGTGTATTGTGGGCCTCTTTTGTTGTACATTTTGTCATTTTGTTTATAAATAAAGCATAATAAAAAACATAATATTATATAAAATCATATAATACATCATATATTCAAAAACAATTATTTATTATGATAGACAATATTTATAGAATTTTCACAATAGAAAATATATATCTGAATGATTTTAAAAATATTAATAACAGATGTTATAAAGGTAACATTAAGTTTTCATTGAATAAATATCCAACAGTAACAATACATTTTTTAAAAAAGTTTAAATTTATTAAAATGATATTAAAGTCAAATATAAAAGTTTCATATAATTTATATAAATTCAAAAATTTTTAAAAAGTAGATCTAAATACTGAAGATAAATAAGGATGAACTAGCCACTGCGGTTACTGTACTTAACTGAATTAATCAATGTACTGTACCTTTAATTAACAGTGAGTTATAGAATGCTAATGTTTTTGATCCACTAACAAGTCAACTTCAAATGCAGACAGTTGAAAGTGGAATGCCAATGTTGGAAGAAAGGAAGATGAAATAGAGAAGGACACCCTTTCCCCTGCTTGGCAATTTCTCCTTAGTGTTTCACATCAATTGCTGCCATTACAGCCTACTGCCTCCTTGTTTACTCTATCAGCATCTATTCCATCTTCCTTCTGACACTGGCAACACTTTCAACTGTTTACATCTGAAGATGGCCTGTTAACTGGGTCAAAAACATTAGTTTTCTTTACACTTCATCCACTTTTAAAGATGCATCGATTAATTCTACTGATGATAAGAGAGATATGAACAAAAACATTAGTGATTATGGGAAACACATAATATGAATAAAATTATTCTGTCTATTCATTTGAGATTAAGAATGATGCTAGAAGAGAAAATAAAATTATCCTAGTGGCTTTAATGATTAAAGTATAATACAAGTATTTAGCAAAGAACATGATTCAATTTTTATCTGAAGCTGGATGTATTTCTGTATTTGGAACTTAGGTTCTTTGTTTATATGTCAGAATTTACATGTTGGATATTATACATTAAGTTAAATAGTTAGAAAAATTTTAAATTGTAAAATAAATGTACAGTAGACCCAGAACCATTCCATATAATTTTGGCATCTGAGGCAAGCCTAAGAACAGTGCCAATGTACTTATATTTCTATAAATATTTTGTTATTTTTTTAGTGTCCCTACCAATTTGGCAGCTAAGACAATTGCCTCTATCTGATCTGTTGGCATGGTCCTGAGTAGATCCTCAATTTAACAGACTTTAGATTTAATGGACAAAAACTTTCTGTCCTATAAGAGAAACTTGAAGCCTTTTTTATTTATAAATAGAGTGCTTGGATCAATGAATGAATTAGTATAAATTATTCAATGTATATCATAATATTTTATTCATACTTATACATTATAATAACATTTTAACACACATCTTACACATTTTAAGTTTGTTATTACTTAATATATGTTTTTAAAACATATTTGATTTAATAGATTTTTGGCAATAGTAGACACCCCTTCCCCCAATTAGTCCATTAAATTGAGAGTCTAATGCNATATCTCCCGCACCCTTATAGCTATCGAGACGCAACCACCATAGTGCACGAATGGAGACTTGGGGCTACTACCACATACAAACACCATTCATGTGCGATGCATAGTTATATATAAATGGACGTGTGTGTCCATTTATATATATATATAAATGGACGTGTGTGTCCCTATATTTCACTTTTTAGTTAAAACTACACATCGCACATGAACGGTATTTGTATGTGGTAGTAGCCCCAAGTCTCTATTCGTGCACTATGGTGGTTGCGTCTCGATAGCTATAAGGGCACAGGAGATATGGGGGCTTAAAGTGGTTGAGTTCGAAGATTTTCTATTTCGATTTTAAAAATGTTTGAGCTGTTTTAAATTTGAATTGGTTCGATTATAGAACGATTGTAAATGTTCCAGAAAATTGATCAAATTGAAAATAGTTCGTTTGACTGGATGTAAAAATTCTCTAATTAGTCTGGAAATGGGGGACCTAATGCTTGCATTCTGTGCTATAAGGGTATGGGAGATATGGGGTTGAAAGTGGTTGACTTCGAAGATGTGTAACAATGGAAGTGTCAACAATGGAAGTGTTGAGTAGCAAAGGAAGTGTTAATATAAAGCAGCATGCAAGATTTACAGGCGGTTTTTTGTGTTTTTACGGGAAATCGAACATATTTTTAGACTCATGTAAAAATTCTCTAATTAGTCTGGAAACGGGACCTAATTCATGCATTCTGTGAAAACGGGTAAGATTGGCTATAATGTAATTATCTTAATCTTCACTATTGTTACTTTTTGCCCAGCGAAGTGGGTCCTTGCAGCTAGATTTTAGATTACTTAGAAAAACAGTCTTATATATATAAAAAAAAACTATATTACATACAAATAACAACCTAGCAAAGCAGGTCCTTCCAGCTAGTAAAATATATTTTTTCAACTTCTGAAAAAGACTAAAGGTACTGTATGTTTGTGTGTTTAACTTGTGATGGCATATACATTGCAGAAAATTGCTAAAATGAAAATTAAACCTTTGCAAAATTTACCCACCCCACTATACACCTAGCATTTGCAGGAATAGTCATTGCTCTATGGGTGTTAGTTTGTAATTGCAATTTAAACTTTGTATATAATCCTCCCACCATATAGTTAAGAAAGGGTGCATGTTGTCTTTTACCCACAATCTACATGAAAATATGGTAGTTATAATTTCAGATATAATCAGTACAAAGTTGAACTAATCACTATAATTAATCTGATCTAATGAATAAGCAAGGCACTTTTATCAGTAAGTAAGGTTAGAGAAATGCTAACATTTTCAACCTAGTTAATGGTCATACCATCTGAACTATGTATTATCAGTCCATACCCGAGGATAATCCATTAACTGTGTAAAAATTGTCAGCATCTCCCAAACCTTATCCATTGTTAAAGGTGCATTGCTTACTTCATTAAATTTAATCATTATTAAGACAGAAGAAGAGAATAAAATGTGAAATTTACTCTTTGCTATATATAATTTTAAATTCAGTATTTTACAATTGCATTCACTAACACTGATGTATTTTATAGGCCAGATGGCCAGGGCAGTTAAGATGACAGCTTACTGTCCTGGGAGACCCAGGATCTGGGAGAGCAACCCAAGGAATTTTTTTATGGGTGGTCTATCCTGGATATGTTGGGCCCCATCCCTCACCACCTGGCTTCCCCATTGTAGACCTGGGCGAATCCACAATGGGTATGGAAAAAAATGGCCCTCTTAGTGCCTACAGGGCAGAGAGAATAAAAAAAAAGTATTAATTAAACTATAAAATATTTGTTTGTTGAAACAGTTAATTGTTTTAATAAATCTTGATTTCTGAAATTATGCTTTGATTAAATTTCTTAAATATTATTTCATTAAATTTTAATAATAATAATTATTTCTTGATTTTTAAAATTTTATTTTTCAGACATGGAAACAATTAAACCATATATTAGCAAAAACACCAAACATAGAACATAGTAAAAAAAATGTCATTCTTATCATTACTAGTACTTTTCTAAATCTGATCCTTGAAGATTCTGGAGAGGTAACATTTTACAGTTACAATTTATATTTTTCAAAATAACATATTTTGTTTTAATTTAGAAATAATTTTATATTTATAGCTTATTGCATCTCATGAAATGTCCAATATATCTTTTGCTTCAGGAGGTGATTCAGTAAGTTCTCTCTATTGATACCAATTCTAACAATTATTTTAATGTTATTTTTGAATGCCAATTATAGTTTTAATTTGCTGAACACCACAATTATTATACTATTGATTCAGAGTTACAAAATATTCACTCAATGATTTATTCATTTGAACAAGAAAGTGTCAAACATACATAAACTCCAATAACAAATTATATAACACTCACCAAATAAACCATCACCAGTTCATAACCAAACAGAAAAATTCTTTCTACGAACGTTTTCATCTATATGTAATAGACATCCCCAGGTATTGATGATATCGAACTAACGGCTAGTAGAATAGAATGTTTTTGAAAGTTCCGTTTAACTTCATAATTCGAATATGTTGCATTAAAATTGAAAATTTGTAAAATATTTAAAACATCCGAATAAATAATCAATTGATTTCATGTAGATCATGACATAAATATCCTCCATAATTTAAAATATCTTTGATGCGTGTTTCAATCATTGGGATCTAATTCAAATATTTAAATTACGGAGGATATTTACGTCATGATCTACATGAAATCAATTGATTATTTATTCGGATATGTTTTAAATATTTTACATATTTTCAATTTTAATGCAACATATTCGAATTACGAAGTTAAACGGAACTTTCAAAAACATTCTATTCTACTAGCCGTTAGTTCGATATTGTCAATACCTGAGGATGCCTATTACATATAGATGAAAACATTCGTAGAAAGAATTTTTCTGTTTTGGTTATGAACTGGCGATGGTTTATTTGGTGAGTGTTATATAATTAAGTACCCAGTTTTTTGAAATACAGTATATCCAATAACAAATTTAAATTAATTATAAAATATACTTTATTGAAGTGAATTTGTTAAACATGATTACTTTCAGGCCTTGCTGGCTCAACTTAATAAATATGAATTATTTTCAATAACAAAGATAATGTATAATATTTAATGTTTTTGAAAATAATTTATATCTCTGAAGACCAACAATGAAACTTGAAAGTACTTAAGTTTCATTCCAATAGAGTGAATTTTATTATATATGTCCCTACTAATAAACACTTACATTAATTCAATTTGTAATTTATTTCTTCATTTTTGGAAGCTCACAATGGCCAATGTTAAACTAAAAGGAATAATCAGTGGCGTAGTGTAGTGCGGGCGGCATTTTTAGGGGACAGCAAAATTTCACAATAAATAATAATAATATCTTGTAAAAATTTGAACCATTTTATTTCATATTTTTGTCGCACCTACGATTCGGACCGATTGAAATGAACATGGAATAGTGTTACCACCCATCCGGTTTTCACCTGAACAGTCTGGGAATTGACTCACTGTCCGGGTGAACTATTAATTTTGTCTGGGAATATTGTGCACAACCTGTTGACCTTTTTTTCTTTTTTTTCCTGCCTGTACAATTCATATTCATACACATCTCCAATATCCAATAGAGCTAAGTCATCTAGGTTACTTACGTTACTCCTACCCAAGTCTCCCTAGTCCCTAACTGTAACTGATTTAGAATTGGCATGCACTGCACATTATTCTTTGTATTGCAAGATGACATTACGCATGCGTCAGGAACTTCTGTTCAAACAAACCTCACCTGTCATCCGAGTCAGCAATTTTAAAAAGGTGGCAACACTAGCACAGAATTTTTCATTACTTATTCTGTGACGAAACTGAATTTTAGTCTTTTAAATTGAGATACCTAAATAAGGGGGCGGCAAAATTTTCCTTTTTCCCGGGCGGCTGACACCCATGCTACACTACTGGGAATAATATTATAATTTAGATATATCATTTTGGATTTATCATCATTATCAGACTGATGATAAAAACTAAGATTATACATTTCTGAAATATGAAAACATTTCAGTCAGTCTGTTCCATCCATTATGACCTTCAGAAACAAAGAAAGTATTTATAGATTACATATATAAGATGTTTCAAATATTAGAAAACTAAGAAATAGTTTTAATAAGAAAACTAATATTTATAATTATTTTATAATAAAAGAAGTTAATTAACTCAGTATATCACCATATGATTATCATAAAAGAAAATATGGAAAGTTTTGTGACAGTTATTTAAAAAGAATTTCAATTTATAAAATTTGATATAGTTGATTTTTATATAATCATTTTAGTTGATTTTTTTTATAATCATCAAGGTTATAGTGGAGGGTATATAGTAGTATATGCTGTGTCTTTGGCTTTATTTATAGAAATATTGTATATCATTTAGTGATACAAAAACTGTATAAACAGATTATATACAATAATAAATCTATACAATAATTTCTTGATAAAAATTATTCATTTTTCCTGGTAAAATATAACAGTTCAAATAAAATGAAGTCATCATCACAACAACAACTTATATTAACTAATTTATATCAATTATGACTAACTCAAATTTAAAATATCATCATCATATAAACATCTTTACTGTAAATTACTTTACTATTTTTATCATATGATGATGTGTCAACAAAAATTTCCTAACTTTTATTTCATTTTCTTATATTATAAATCAGAGCTCTCAATCTGTAATTTTGAAAAAACTTGGTATTGTTGTGGAACCTGTCATAGAAAAAAAAAACAGTTGACATTTGCCCAAAAAAGCTGGCAACCAAAATTTTAATCAAAATGTAGTGATTTTGACAATTTTGATGGTATTCTATAGTGCAAGGCACACAGAAATGATAAGTATATGATTGTGACATTATATACATCAATAACAATAATAATAATGATTAATAAAAAAAACCGTCAGCTATGTTGTCAGAGTACTTTTGGCAATACAATAATAAAAGAAGCTTGCCATCAGGCAAATCGAATGCAGAATTGCAGAGAACAATTTTTTTATTTCAGCATTTTCAAATTTTGTTCTCTGCCATTCTGCATTTGATTTACTTGATGATGACAAGTTTGTATATTTTTGAAAGTATTAACATATTTTGTTAAGTTATATATTTTGCTTATTTATTAAAATCTATTTTAATATCATCAACAGAGTTTTTTCTACTAATTATTACAGAAATCAAAAGATTATTTAGCAATTTATTTTATTTTAGCATACCTTTTCTTGTACCTTGTTGTACTTATACATTAATGTGTTAATATAACAACAGCATTTCCAAATATAGTTGTGACTCCAAGTGGGATCATCAATTCTTTTTACATGATCGTGTATTACTTTTTCATAGATATTATTCCTCTGCTTAAAAAATATTTAAAGTCTATATTTTTTCTTTGACTTTCTTGACAGCAAAGGAAAAAATAGACAATACTCATCTGATTGCCAACCTCAATCAACAAAAACAAAGTAGAGTTAGTAGATTTATGTTTATTAACAATGTCATTCTAATATATGAAAAAAATTATGCAAAAAATAACAATTGTAAGAAAAAGGAAATACGTCACAGAATTTTTAAAATACGGATTTCCACATAAGGAAGTTAACAGTAAGCAATTTGGCATAATTTGTAGTGAAACTTGCAGGTTTGAAAGAAAACAGTCCAACTATAAACTCAAAAAATTTGTTTTAACAATAAAAATTTTTTCAAAGTATAAAACAAAACAATACTTTTGTAGATTGATAACTGGAAGCATGGCAAAAAAGTGGACAAACGCTGAACATAGTCGACACCACACTGTAAAAACAAATTAGCAAGCAGACAGTTGATAACTCTGATAAATGATATAATATTAACTTTCAATTCTTTATAAATACAGTCAACTATTTTAAATAGTACCTAGTACTTTCAAACTTACTCAGCTCATCTTCAGGGATTCATATCACATGCCAACTACATTTACAGTCAACACTTGATACAAACTTCTGAAAATGAACTGAGGAACCTTAAAAGCACTAGTATTTAATATTGCTGATTATGTTCCAGAAAAGTAGAACTATTGATAGTATTATAACAATTTAATTAAAATTATTGAAATACAAATAATTTTTTAGTTAAAAATTAAATAAATTTCTATAAAATTTGAAACACATTTAACTTATGAAACATTAATTCATAGAAAAGTTTAAAATAAGACCAGAATTTAGTGTTGTGTTCTTTTATGCTTATTCATCAATATGAATAACCATTGTTGAATAACCAAGTTTCAATATGATTAACCATTCAGCAAGTTTGTTAAAATACAAAAATAAAATTCCTATAATCTTTTGGCTATAATTTTGATATATATATATATATACTAGCAGACCCCGCCACGTGTTGTTGTGGCTCAAAATGTATCTATTATAAATGTATAAAACTTTCCCCGTGTGGGGGGAATTTTTCGAAAAATTTCTTCTTAGTTTACATTCTCTTGGCGTACCCTAGTAAAACGCAATCAAAAACGCAAAAACCCGCATCTAAAATAGTATAATAGAAGCCAAGTTCTTCACGGTAAGCCTTAATTCTGTCCCTCTCCCTCGCGGGGGGATATCGAAAAATCCCTTTTTAGTGTATATTCTGTTGACATACCCTATTAAAACGCAAAAAAACGCATCTAAAATAGTAGAAATAGTAGCAGAGTTCTTTACGGTAAGCCTTAATCCTGTTCATTTCCCTCCAGTGGAGGGGAATTTCGACATGTATATTATATAAAAACACGTGCGTATTCGAATGCAGCGTTGTGTGAATATTTCAAAGGAATTGGTAGGAACGAACGAACATTACATTTTTATTTATATAGATAGATAAAAGATGATCTGCTTTAGTTCATCCTCACAGAAAAGAAAACTTAGGGCGTCATACATGTAGCGCCATCTGTTGGATATAAAAGCCTTAACCCTAGATGAAAAATCCATTGTAGTTTAATTTAATTAATAAAAAATCTGCAGGTTTGATTAGTGGTAAACATTCCGTGGGTCATAAAGATGCTACATTTAAAATTTGGTAACGATTGGTTCAGTAGTTTTCACGGTTAGTGGTCACAAACGAAAAATACGTTGTCTCTTTATATAGTAGTATAGATATATGTTAC